ACTTCCGGTCGTCGTCGTCCCGGTAGTCGTCGTGGTTGCTTAAGCTCCGTAATGATAACCTTGACCGTAAGCTTGCCTGCCATGAGCATAAGTGGTAACAGAGTTTTTGGGACTTTCCTCTCGAAGGTAGCGAGATGACTTGATAGCGACATGACTTGATAGCGACATGACTTGATAGCGACATGACAGAAGGGCAGGTCAAGCTTATAAGTATGTCAAGGATTTTCGACTGTGTGAACCACTTCAATTCTAGGACGTGGAAGGACAAGGAATTCCTTCCGTCAACCAAACCTTCGAACCTGGATTACAACTGTTGTGCAATCTTCACAAGTTAGATCAATGACGTCAGTTTACACACACTGTTCTCTTCATCACAAAAATTACACAGGAAAGTCTGAGGAAGTGTCTAACATCCATCGCTGAGTTTTCACGTAAACTGAGGCAAATGGTTATGCGGTGGATTTTAACATCTTAATGTACCAGATGTAAATGTAAAATAAGAATTTAAGTGCGAATATTGTAAATTTTTAATCATTTCTCACAACTGCGCCCCACTGATCGATGTTTAAAAGGGGGAAGTTTAAGTGTGCACTTTTAATCCACGCGGTATCAACGAGCACTTTTCATTCAACTAGTTTATTCTTGTTTTGTCGTCACCATGTTCACCTTTCAAACCATAAGAGGGACCACCATCTGATTTAACCTCACAGTAAAATTGCTGAGTCATTCATTACGATCGTGAGAATAACGGGAAATAATTGCGAACCTAGGAAACTTTGATTAAACAAATTTTCCTCGTCAACACCAGAAGAAATGAACGAAAAAAAAACTACAAAGGATATGGATACTTTTATACTTATGTTAGACTGTAAAGGGTTCAGACTTTATAGCGAATACTTGAGAATGAATAAGGTCGATCTATCAATAAAAAGTTGTCCAGTATATGGTTCTTGTAGTGAGTCGATTACTAATACGTTTTCTTTTCGTTATTTACTTCACTTTCCAAGCTCTCAGTAATCGGTGAAATTCTATTTTTCTGAACTTCCTTTGCTTTTTTTCAAATTGTATCAAACCACTATCTATTCTCAGAAAAATAACATCATGCCGGCCATTTACGAAAGGTGAGAACGTCCAGAGCTTCTCAAGGTGTTATTTTCTTAAGAGATACTGTAAATGTCTGAGACCTGATTCAATTAGATATTTCAGTGAGTTATTTACGACCTGTACCGCTGGTTACATGTTTTTGCAGTCACGATAAGATATCAAGTTTTCGAGAACACATGGTCTGTTTTGTGTTTAAGTTTTAGCTTCTGCTTAGATTGTCGAACAAGATTTCATTTGTTATTAGCGGAACAAGGCACAAAAAACTTGTAAGTATCCGTCGGTTTTGTGATTCGGTCGTTATTTTGCGTTATTCAGCGGATTTATGCATTTGATTTCCGCGAATCGTTGTTCATGGAATAAAAAGAGTTTACAGTTCAGCGCATCTCAAGTTTTCTTGTTGCCGCTCTCTATTAGTTAACATTGGGTTCCTACAGATACGGGCAGAGTGATAAAGATAACTCATATTCCTCGAATGTGACGATTTTATTGAAAATATTACAAACCATATCGTAACAAGTGGGGTTAAGGATTCCAGAGCAAGAGTTAACTTACAAACAACTGAGTGGTCAGAAAGAGTTTTATGCAGGTGTTTCCATTTTTTTAAGCAAGGGAACGTACAACTGTTAAATTTAGCAGCACTTTTGGAATCTTTAGGCCTCTTCTTACAACGTTTGCGGCAGAATGCTTCTCAATTTTACAGCTTTTTCAAATATTAAAGGTTCACATCACCAAATGGATATGTGCTGTTAGTACTATTATCACAAAAATGCTGGCTAGATTCCTGTGAATCTTGTGTATGGGTTCACCTGACGAAAATTGAGGGGTAAATGACTCATCACGCTTTTCCTTGAGAGAGATGATTTTCATCTTATGATTCTTTAATTCTTCAGACAGCAATTCAATCCTCTTGCTTAACTTCTCAACGACCTGAAGGACAATATTCACTTTAGAAAAAGATATCAGTTGGAACAAAACTGGTTGTTTCATATTTCGCTCCTCCAAGTGATCAGTTCTTATTCATCGCATGAGTGGGGCAGTAGGTGGAGAGGAGTTTTGGGAGGATCGCATTATCCACCCTACCCCCCCCCCCCCCCCCCCCCCCCCCACGGGGATAAATAATGACTGATCCTTGAGTATGCTAATGATGACAATGATACAATGATGAAATTGATGAGTCTCACTCTCGATCGCTCAGGCATAAACGTATGATGTTCATATTAACTTATCATTACGGTTACTAACCTCGTGACAGGAGGATTTCGTCTTTTTGTCATGGCTTTGGGAGGATAAATTCAGTGACCATTTGTCTGCTCTATAAGTGCCTGTAAATGACGTCACCACACCAAACCTCTCGTATATCTTCCTATCAAAAGAAATTCAAGCATGTTCAAACAAACCAATTAATCATTTTTTTTTAGCAAATCAATAGATCAATCGAGACAGTTTTTTCGATCAGATCTGGGCCAAGTTGTATAAAAGGCGGATAACGCTATCTAACAGATAAATCGCTATCCGGAGGATTAGTGATAGAAAAACGTATAGTGTTATCGACTGGATAGATTGTTATCCAGTGGATAGCGTTACCCAACCTTCGAACAACCGGGGCCTGGTCATTCAGTCAAAGTGTCCGATATATATGTAAAATATGATATATCTGTGGAAAAAAAACATAATTTCTTTAAATGGTCCAGCAAATATATGTCAGACTGTACTTCATAGCGTCATTTAACTCTTGGTCAAGAGTCACGTTCCATCATTTTCAATTCTCTACGTATCAGTGTTCGGGGAGGGGGGAGGAGGGTCATATGACATGCACTCAATACACTTTTCTGCTTTCTTACTTGAGAAGCCCTACTGTATCACCACCCCCTGAATCACTACCAATTCCTCTTGGCCATGAGTCTGAGTAACTCTTTCGTTCAATTGCCAGTACTTGGTTCACGTCTCCACTGATTGAACTTTTATCCACGTAGTAAGCAACCTCCAAAGAGAGAAAAACAAAGATATATATTTGTTTTCCTTGCGTCCTTGTTTCCAGTTTGCTTCTCCATTTTCAACTTGGCTCTTGGAGTGTTCCCCGAAAGAAAATTTCATGTTTAATTTATAGCTTGACTAAACGAATACTAGCATAGGCTATCTAAAGAATAGTTTTACGTGCATTTCACGGTCATTCCGTAGGTGTACATCTGGAATTTGAGGACGTCAAGGCTTCAAGAAGAAGGTGACAGGATTGAGTAGTCTCTGTTGCGTACTTACCAGTATCACCCTACTTATAGTGATGTTGGATGGTATCTGGAGGATCCAATTTACAGGTTCGTAGTTTGCAAGTACAAGTACAAGAGGTCTGTCTGACCTACCACCGCTGACGATGTTAACAGTAGCGTCACCAGCGGTCGGGGGACGTCTGTTGATAACCTCGTAAACAGATAATACGTGCACTTCATACTGACTGGAACTGCTGCTGTCAGGCGTGCAGCTGTAGGTAGGCTGCTGGGGCTGGTTGTTATATTGAGGTTTGCCGAGGGATGTAGCGGCATCCACTGATATTTTGCATCCTTTTGTATCGGCTGAGTAAATAGACGTTAATACAAAAACAACTATAATATAACCTAAATTAAACATGGCATAAACGAATAAAGGGGATAAGTTTCTAAAGAAACTTGGTGGTACATCTGTGGAGGACATTTGGAATTTATTACCTAAGTTCCGGCTATATCAATCGATCACCATGAAGAAATTCTACAGCTGACATTTCTAGGGTTAGCCTCTCGTCAGAGCGAGGCCGATTTGTTCCGACGAAACTGTGTTAGAATCTTTTTATGGTGGCAAATTAACACGATCAACTCAGTTGATAACACCAAACCATCATAGCACAAACGACAAAAAGAAACGTGGCAAATCCAAATATTTCATTGACCAGAACTGGTAATGGCTGGCAAGGGTTGAACAAGAGGCGCACTAAGAAAGGAGATGTGCCTTAGGTGCTTCGAGATTATTTGATAAATTTTGACAACCGCCATACCGAATGACCTCTATGTTCAAATCAAAACAGCTTGAGCTGCAGCCTATCCAAAGAGAGTGAATAGCAGACGGATTTCTCAGAATCTCTAATAAGTTTAAGGTTTGTATCTCCTCCCTTTAATCAAAACCGTCTTCATTTGTGGCGGTAGATTTGAAACTCGAAATGATTCGCTTCCCCATCGCGTAATATTAGCACGGCATAATTTGCATTTAAGCTGAAACCAACGAGTGGAGCCCACCTAATTATAGCGCCCTTTGTATTTAGGAACGAGCCAAAAGGCCTAGTCTGCCGGAGGCTATCTCGATTTCAATGTATCATGAGGGGCGTAAAAGTATTAGGACCTTTCCCTTCCCGCCATTGCTTCAACTAAGTTCCAGTGCATCGCAGGTGATATTTCTTCGGTAATCATTTCAGAACACATCCAGGGTTGAGACAGACACTGGGAGAGTAAACTGCCTCGGTCGAGAACACTTCACAGTAAACCAAGTCAGTAATGCAACCCAAAGCTCAAGTTTAAGCGGGTGAAGGTCCAGTGCCCTGACTACTCGACCACCGCGCCTTCCATACCCCACGTGCGTTTCAAATTTCTTTGTCGTGACGTTGGCTTTTTATCGTCTCATTTCGTATACTTTTAAAAACCCACAAAGGCAGAAGCATATTTTATGTATATTTTCTTGCAATGGATCAGGATGATTCACAAATTTGTCTTTTGTTTGTTGTGTCTGCTTTAGTACGCGCTGTTTTCGGCCACAAAAACTCGCGCAACTCTTTCAAGAAATTACTTGCAAAACTGAAACCATTCGCTTCTGTATAATAATACACCTTTTTCGAGCATTTAAAAGCTAAAAATAACTGATTGTTTTACTCCCAGATCTCACTGTCTCCTTGAAAATCTTTCGCTTTGATCTGACAGTCTCGGGTTCGACACCCAATTGAATTTAAGCGCTCCACCATCATGTTTACATAATTACTCACTTTGATCGTTAATCATTGGACAGAAGAAAGTTACATGTTGACTTCAAGAATGAGGGGAAAAAAATGCCAGTTTACTTATAGCGAGAGAAAAAAATTAATGTATGAGATAAACACTGGCAATCATCAAAGGCCACCTCTTTGATGCGTACTTGCGCGAGTTAGTCATATTTGAAAATATGTGATTCCTCACGGGGTTTCAGGAAATAAGGTGAACGCACACTCACGGCGCGTTATAACACGCTAGCACGCTAATGGTGTGACACGCTTACCGTGCAGATATGCGCATAAAAACAATTGATTTTGGAAAGCATGTTGTAGCCATTGTTCATATCTGTCTAACACGGTAGAGCTTTGTTTCTAGAACACGCTGGATTTTTTGTTTTTTTTAACACCCAAAGTACCTTTGTTTCTTAACACGCTCGCTTATCTTGTACAACCCAGCTTACTTTGTGCCTTATGTCTGTCAGCTTTTTAATAAATTGTTGTGAGAATGCTGTTTGTAAAGTATATTACTTACAGAATATAAACGAAAATGAAGAAGATCTTCTGTCCTATCCGAAAGTTGTAATAAAAAAGGAAAAATTCACGGCAAATCACGGCTCTTTCCCTTAGGATTTTAACAAGGAATTCAGTGAGCTAGTTCTTAATCTTAATTTATTTAAATTTGTATACCTTCACAAGGCTTTATAATTTCCTTTTCTCTTTTTATTTCGTGGCGTACCTGTAAACTAGCTTTTAGCTAAGCGTTCTGACCACTTTAAATAAAGTGATTGATTGATTGATTAATAAAATTGGCACGGTCACCATGTTATATCTTGCAAAGTTGCAAGCAAGATCTTAACACGTTCCTTTGTTTCTACCGTGCCAAGCAATACAAAAGCTGCGAAGTTAATGAGGCAAGTAACTTACACGCAGCTAACGTGTTAAAAGCTTGTTCTTTTGTTTTAGCGTGTGCGTGTGTTCACCTTATTCCCTGAAATCCCGTGGAGGGTCACATATGCAAATTATGAAGAAAAATATAAAATGCTCGATCTTGAAGTCAATTTTAACATCATAATGATGTAATTTGACCGTGGGAAACAGAAAAGATAAATTTCATTGCTTTTTTAGTTAAATTAACCATAAAATTTCATTGCAATCGATCTTGTTCATTCCTTTGGCTTCCTGTTAAAAAGACCAAGTTTTAAATTCGTTCACGATCGTAGTCTATCTTTCAAAAAGGCACTTCCGCAATTTCTACACAGACGCTGGTTATATACTGAAATCAATCAATCACTTATGACCTTTAACTGCAGCACGGCTCGTATTTCGCATTAAATCGTAAACGATCGAAACGATTCTCAATCGTGTTAGTTTTGCACTCGAACTCGACTTTTTTTGTTCAACGATTCTAAGATAAAACCCTAAGACTATGAAAGTTTGCATGTTAAAGGTGAGGAGCGATTGAATGTGATTAAGTAATGTTGTAATGATCGTTTGTTAGGGTAAGCGAACGAGGAAGCGGGAAAAATAAAAAGATGGAGAATTGACTCGCATGACAAACAGTAAACTTGAAGTTAGAAAATAATTCCAAGATGACTTACGCAAACACGAGTGGTAATCGTAGTCTTGACTGTTACAAACGCAAGACCCATCTACACATTTGGATTGCATTTTATAACCGCCGGGGCAATAATTGTGGACACCAAGACATTTGTTTTGACAATTCACCCTTGCTAAGTAACAGCTGTAGAACAGGATCAAGGCGCCGAATGCTGAGATTTTCGTGAACATGATTCCTGCTGTCTCCTACGTAGAGAAACGTGTAAACAAACAGAACAGCTTATTATTTTTTCGCCTCACTTTCTCAAAACATGCTGATGAACACGCTTCAAAAGGGTTTTTACACTCCACCGGATGTACTAGAAATTTTTCCGAATTTAATTGAAATTTTCGCCTCCATCAGTTCTCAAATCATTCACTGGAGAGTACATTTACCTTGAAGAAACTTGGCTGTTTCCAAAGGTGATGTATTTCCTTCTTTCTACTTCAAAACTTCGAAGCCTTGCCTTATTCAACAGTTGTATCACAATGATTGCGTTGACGTATCGTCGCAGCTGTTTTAAGCAACGCAATATAAGTAAGTGCACTCGTGCATGATTGATTCAGCGGTTTTCCTTATACCCTGCGCTTTTCTGAAGCGGATAAAGGGCCGTAGATTCTTAGGTACCTGTTCAAGTTTTTCCCGTGTGGATAAAAGCATTAGGTCATAGAATTACTTTATCATTGCACCTATATTTGCCATTCCTTGTCAGGTAATATTTGCCTTTTACGAAAAAGTGCGGAAATGAACACATCATTTTCCTTGGACACAAACTCCGGCTCAGCAAAGGAGGATGCAATTTGTAACCACGGAAACAATATAATATAATACTTATTTTTAATATTGTGTGTACTTGTTCTCTGGTATTTGCATTCGACGAACAATGTGGACTGAGTAGAAACACGACACACCATCAACCAAGCAGAACACAAGCTTGGCGTCAATCAGGTCAGAGAGGTGACCTTTCAACCACAGAATGATGGATGTGCGTAAATGATTAAAGCAAGATTACTGCTCAGTATTAGTCACTCTTATATTGAAGATTGTTTAGATGGTTTTTTTTTGTGGTTACTGCCACATACGTCGTCGATACGTAAGAGTGATTGAGGAAGTGTAACGATAGATTGCCGGGCTTCACCTGATTTTGACCCGATGCTACTTTTTTTTCGTTTTGCATAATCTTCGAAATTCGACATGCTCATGAGAGATTATTAGGCGCATCATACAGTAAAGAAAGAGAATGCCTTTTGAAACAAATAATTTTGTGTTGCGATATGATTTTTTCGTTCTTGCCGCGACACTACAGAAGACAGTAAACTTCTTGTCATCTCTTTTGACGATGGCTTCTCGCGGACGCGTGGTTAATAAAAAAACAATTTTTCTTGTAAAAAATATCCTAATAGCTGAGATCGCCGCATCATGAAAACTTAGAGGAAAAACTTTTTTTGTTTGAATCCCGGTTGGGATACATTTGAATTTGATCAGGAGCACGTGACCAAGAATCAACCAACCACAGTGCTCGTTTTTTTTTTATAGTGAAAGTCTAGATTTATAACAACATAACTTATTTGGTAATGCAGGTTAAGAGTCACGCAGCCGAAGCTGATGTGGACCTGCCTGGTACTAATTTACAACAAATTGTACAATATTTAAGTAATTAATACTATATTAATTAAAATATCTATATATAAGTTTGGATTCGTTAAGTGTCTAAGAAAAGAAAAAACTATGTAAGTCTGTGGATAAAATTATACCGGATGTGATTCAAATGGAAATAATTATAACTTCATATAGAAGTTAATGTACTGAGAATAGACCAGCCTCGGAATGGGATGTGTTCAGATTGATTACCAGTCTGTTTCCATCAACTAGGTGCAAACTGATCACATACAATATATATGATTAAATTTAGATCTAATTTAGGGATCTTTGAGGATGAAAATTAAGAAAATAAAACAGGAAACCATATATACGAATAAATGTTATAATAAAGCTCGGATATAACGCGTACTGTCACTGGT